TCCCAGCTCTGCCTCCGGCCACCCTACACTTTGCGGGGCACTGCACGCACAGGGCTGAGCCTCCTGCCATCTGGGAATTCCCTGGATTAAGGGAATGGTCAGTGAACATATCCAGACCAAGAAATTTCAAGAGTCTGAAGGTACAGGAAGCCTGGAGTCGGTTTTACTTCACAGAGACGCACCAACCCATCTAGAAGTCAGCTCACTGGTGGGGAAGGACTTCGGGTGTACCCAGGTTGGTTATTTCGATCAGCTGGGAAAGATGGTAAGAAAGTATAGAAAGAAGTGGTGGGGCTGCTTTGTAGTGGGGCACCCCAGGGGAAAGAAGGAGCAGAGCATCATTTCTGAATGGAAGCCCAGCATTCACTAAGGCATCTCCTGGTATATCAAGATTTAAGACGAAGAAGTATTGATACAGGGATTGCAATGTGAGGACAGAGTCACACTGTGAAAATAGCGCATCTCTCACCTGCAGTGCTAAGATTAAAAGTCAAGGAAAAATGTTCCACTTGCAACAACCAAACCAGATTTTTTTCCCTAGTTTTTTTAAAAAAAGCAAAATTAAGAAGTTCTGTTTCACGCTGTTTGAACAAAAGTAAAATTCTTTGCTTTGCTAGAGTCAAGAATCCTTAACTCTTCTACTCACAGTTCCCTTACTTTAATGCCATTTTTAATCTAAAACTTAGAAATTCCTTTTAAAAATGTCAGTGAAAGATCTGGCATTTACAAATCAAAACACTTCATTTCAAAAGTGTCAAGTCAAATGTTTTATATTTTTTGACTGTTTTATTTCTTTTTTAGCTGAAACAGATGAAATTCATTTAAATTTGCAGATAATTTCGGTCCTTGTGTAATTTTTTTTTTTTGTGAAGTTACGAAATGCTGAGAAAAACTCAGCTAACGAATAGGAAATAGTTGGAAGGAAGCATTAATGAATGGAAAAGTAAGAGCTGAGAGGAGTTCCTCAAGTGCAGATTCTAGGAGCTATCTTATTTAATATTTTCATGAATGACCTTGAGGCAGGAAGTAAGAATGTGTTAATGTATCTTGAGGGTAAGAGGCAGGGATGCATCGTCACTAAAGATGAAGACTGGAATATGTTATAAAAAGGGCCAGTTGTCCTTGAGACTACAGTAAGAAACATGAAATGTAGCAATATACTGAATTTCGAGGTATGCAGCCATACTTTCAAGGTCACACATTCAAAGATTACAAACCACTTCTGTTCTGAACAGGACTCCATTAGTTGAAAACAACTAAAAAACAGGAGAAATGATCCAGTATACTATTCCATCACAGGACAACTGTAAACAGTTATGCAATACAGCCACAAAAATGGCAAAAGTAATCCTTTGCCCAACAGAGGGGGAATTTCCAATAGCGTTAAGAAAATCCTAACGCCATCATACCAGGCCTCTGTGTATTTTTATCTGAAGTTATTGGCGTTATACAGCTCTGGTCATCTTTGTACAATAATAGATGAATTTAGGTTGGATTTGATGCCAAGGAGGGATGTGAGGAGTCGATCGCCTGCTGTGCAGCAGGACAGCTGAAGCTTGCTGCGTTAGTCTATTAAACAGAAGGCTGCAGCCAAACGTAGCTACTGCCTGTAAATACGTCAGGGGGATGAATACTAGGAGGAAAAGCAGGTATTGTAGTTGAAGGCCTTATATAAATGGGCATAAACAGGCTACGAGTAACACGGATGGAAGTTAGAAGAGGCACATCAAAGAAAGCAAACCAATGGGAGAGGGAAAGGCCAAACTCAAGGCTACTCTTAAGCTTGCTGAACTTGTGGAAAGGATGAAATTACATGGTGCTGCTCAGGATAGTGAGCAAGACAGCGAGCCAGACTACCCTTTCCAGTCCTGCACTTCTTCATCTATGCCAACTGAGCAGGACAACAGGTCAGTGGCTTTTTATTTTGTAACGTTCTCATCCGGTTCTCTATGATCATCATTGATACAAGGAAGGTGGTGAAATAGCATCACATGACAGAAGTGGCCTGGCACAGCTATGCAATGAAACTCAGATGTCAGATCTCCAGAGCTGTTAGCGAACAGTTCACAACTATTCCATGAAGAATAAAAGCCTGGTAGAGGGAAAAAACAAACACCAAGTCCATTGTAAGGGTATCTGTGGTCTCTCCAAAAATGTTCTAGGAGCACAAAAGGAGGTGAGGTTAGTATGCACATTGCACATTACAAGGTACTCACCACCTGGAGTGAATGTTTGAAGTCAGTGCCCTTGTCACAGGGATCAATGAATCAGAAAAGATTTTATTTCACAGAGAGCTAGACCATCATTTGCTTTTCTGATGAGGTTAAGAAACAGCAGAAGAGCCTGCTGGCTCCTCCTTTATGCTCAAGACTGGGATTCAATCAGTTCTCGATACAACTGTATAACCCTGAGATTCAAATGGCTACCAAGCTGAAACACTCCGTGTCCTCACTGTCTGGAAACTACTGTTTTGTGCTTTTATTTATTCAGGTCACAGGCAATGCTAACAGCTGAAACATGGTTTGCCGCTGCCTTTTACACTTTCTTCTTGTTTACACCCATGAGAGTACCAGAAAGCTATCTGGCCAACACACAAGTATTTTATACCCATTTAACAACTTTTAAATAGTGGGGGGAAGAAAAAGTGTCAGGCAACAGAGAATCAATTTTTGACTACGCCAAAAAGGTCAATCCCTCTCCTTCCGTGCTGAACTTCCAGGGAGCTTTGGGTTACACTGGAGGTGGGGGAGTGTCTGCCTTCTACTCGTTTGCATCTCTCAGACAGACTTGAAAATAGCTTCACACATGTACGTGGAGCTGCATTTTTGCACAAATGTGTGAAAGAAACACACAGTGGGCACCACCAAGGGATGATCAGATGCCTCAAGGGCTAAATGTTCTCATAGCTTTTGCCTTTCAAGCCCAATCTGTTGCACGGTCCCTGTTTCCTCCGTGCAGAGTGCCAGAACCGGTGGTTCTCATTAGTTTGGCCAGTGAGGGACTTACCATGGGCACAGAGCTTTCATGTCTGCTCCAACCACCTGGCGTTACCTAGATAATGTCCTGCCCATGCAGCGCAAGAGGGGCTGTGCTAACCAGCGCTCGCTCTATTTCTAGCACCTCCTGTGCTACCATCTGTGGCGATGGCTGCAATGGTATCCACAGGTTGGGGTCTGGGGAGCTGACAGCACTCCTGGCCGAGAGCAGCTGACGTACAAAGCCACACAGGCACATGAGGCTGCCTAGGTGTCGCCAGCTGGAGCACTGTTACCTTTGCGCTCGCAGAGGGAGAGCAGAGACCTTGATATAAAACCTACCCTGAAGAGCACTGGCATTTCTGCTCTCACACTGATCCTGGCATGACATTAATCACGTCTGTTCGCTGGCTCGCAGCATGGCCATTCCTTCCCCAAGTCCCGGCATCACCTCTCTCAGATCTTAGCCCAGCACACTTTCCCAGTAAGTGACAGGCTTTTCTCTTTTTATCCTCAGATAAAACACATTCAAGAGTGAAACGTACACCACATAAAGATGCTGCAGAAGGATAAACAGACAAGATGACAGAGGACTGGGTGATTGAAGGGTGAAATGACGGAATACCTGGCATAATCTCCACAGCAAAACTGGGCAAGAGATCAGCAAGCAGCCCTGTCCTGCCTAGAAAAAGACAGAAGGAGGAGAACAAGGAGAGAGGTTACTGCAAGAAAAACACACTCCCCAGCCCCTGCCTCAGCCTCCAGTCCCCTTCCTCATCAGCCCACTTGCACTGATAAGTGAATTCCTATCAACCACAGATGTCATCCCGCTCGATGCCTGGTGTCTGCCATTTCTGTGTCCTTGCATTTTATATTTATCAGCAGAGCTGCAGGAAAAGAATCTGGAACAGAGCTTCTCCGATCTAGGCACAAAATGACAAGAAAAGGAAGGTCCCCTTAGCATGGTTACACAGTACATCTTTCTGGAGTTATGCTCTACACATGCAAAAAAGCTCCTGGAAATGTATGACAGCCCTTAAACAGAAGGATTTAGTTTACTTTGAAAAAATGCATTGATTCAGTCTGGATGGATGCGAAACATCTTTAACTCAAGGCCCTCGACAAGGCGGCCACATGCATCCAACAGGCGTGGGTGGTGCTCTCCGTGTGGGGCTCTGAAACCGCAGAGACAGCTTCAGGGAAGGAGTCTTGAAGTGAGCATGTGTGACTTATTTCAAGATGCACAAGCAACTTGGCGAGACTGTGTGATATAAGCCCAACTCTTAAGTGAAGGAAACCAACCCAGCCAGGGAAGGACTCATGTAGAAATTCGTGGAATCATTTTGCAAAAAAGAAAAGAAAAAAAAATCAAGTCAGCTTCTAATTTATAACTGAATACAGACAAAATTCAAGCCCAGAGGCAGGTTGGTGCCTACTTGTTTTGGCACTAAATGTCTGGGATATTTCTAATACACAGCCCTATGTGCAGCTGTGCCTCAGGATCATGCTAGGGGTTTTTTTAAGACATGCATAAGGTAGGAGGAGCTGCACTCTTAAAAGTGTGACTATAACATAACAGAAGCAGCTAAGGGTAAGCCAGCATAGAAGTGGTACAAAGCTACCTTTAACCTCCCCACACGCCCTTCACATCCTGGAATAAGTAACACTCAGACACAATGATGAGCTGGATTCCAAGTTCCTTGGCCTCTAGTCTGTCCTTAACACGTGTTACCATCAAATTCCCACTGTCCGTTTTTTGTCGGTGCTTCAGCAGAGGTTCTGTAGAGATCAGAATCCACAAGGATGCTTGCTGGAGCCACAGTAAAGATATTCTGAATGCAGGCCATGCTTTGCAACCAGCTGCAACTCTCATCAAAGCTGTCACAGCAATGCCATCCCCATGAGGTGCTCCCAAAGCCTTAGTAAAAGATAAAACGCCGATCCCGCAGATCATTTACTACTTTGAAGGAGGACTCCTGCCATCAGTCTACTACAACATTTTCATCCAAATATGCAAAGAGCTTCACGACGTTCTTCGCAGTCCGTTTTCCAGAAGGATCAAGTGCCCAATCTGTGCGCAACTAGTCAACTAGCTTGTTATGGCAAAGTGCTCGTGTATGCTTTCTGCTCTCAAAACATAGGCATGTATACAACATATGCATCACTTAAGTCTTGGGTACCAAAAGCGGGCTCCAAACACATACAACAAATGTATGCCTTGTGTCACAGTACGCTAGATTCACACTACATTCTATGTCCGTATTCAATATACTCCTTATTTTCCCAGTACACACAAAAAGATACGTAACTCTTGCACAGGCCCCTGTGTGTGTGAACAATGTACATGTGAACCACATGCACACAGAACATACGGGCAGACATGGGCATGCCACTTGCCTCCCATGCTTTATTATCTCCATAGAAGCTGACACGCAGCTCTAGTCTGAGAGCAGACATCAATGGACAAACAGCTGGAGGTATAGAGCTAATTTAAGGCTGGGATTTGTGGTACCAGAGGTACAGGGGTGGCACCTATGAAGAGGAGAAGCTCCATCTCACGAGCCCAAACAGGCACCTGCTTCATCTTGAACCTACCCAAAGAGCCTTGATCACTGCTAGTGTTGGGTCTTATGACGCCTGCTGATGTCCATGAGGAACCACATATTCAAGGGGGAAGAAACGTCCCTCAAAGACAACAGTGCTTGAGAACCCGGTAACTCATTACAAAAGCAATCAAAGCAGCTCCTCTGTGCTATCTACGAGCAGTCACCTTATTTCCCTGCTTGTGCAGCCTCACTTAGTTCTACCGAATATCTGCTTGGGGAATTTGCCTCCTCTGCCCCACACAGCCCTGGAGGTCCCAGAACCACTAGCGATGGATGCACAATGCCTGGCAGGGCCTGAGGCAGCAGTGAACCCCACCGCGGTGACTCGGCCTGAGCTCTGCTGCCCTGACCAGCCCAACTAACAGCCAGCAAGAACAAAGGCCGTCACTGTACTGCTGTGCCCCCAACAGATTTCAGTGGCCCTCAGCTCTCCCCCCTCCCCGTCCCTGCCCCAAGTTAATTCACTGATAACCCTTCCCCCCACCCCTGGTGGGTGAAGCCAACAGGCAGGAGGAGGGGACTGCCAGCCATAAAGTGGCTGTCCTGCGGTTGCCACAGCAACAGGAGGCTCCCTGCCACCTCAGCGACTTTTCTCCCGCCAGCAACAAGTGAAGCAAAAGCAGCCAGCACCAGCAGGCACAGGGACAGGGCAGCTCAAGGGAGCGCAAAGGTGGCCGCTGACCCTCGCCTGCCCACTCTGTGTAAACCCAGCCCAGGCATGAGCAGGTCCCAAAGCCAGGAGGTAGCCAGCAGAGGGGATCTAGAACGGCACCCCAGTGGGTTGTGCAGTGCCTGAAGCCGTGGCACAGAGGGCAGGTTTCAGTGGGCAAGGCCTCCTTTTGGACTTGTCCCTGAAACGCCAGCTAGGAAGTGGCCACAGCGCCCAGAGCCAGAGCCAGCTCTCTATGCCCAGGCTGCTCCTTCCATGACCATTAAGGTCACCTTCCTTCTCTCTTGTTCTGTTCTGGGTTTTTTTTTTAAGGAAATTTTACTGTGGAGGGCTGGAGCTAGATAGCAATTGGTGGGGAGAAAAGAATAATTTAGTAAAGCGTCCTGCCAGGAGACCATCTGGCCACACACCCCGTCTCCACATGGCGGCTCTGCCTGCCTGAAGAAGGGGACTGCGGGCACTCTGAGACATGGCTGGGGACAGCTGCCTCACCCCAAGGGCTATGTGTGCTCCGCGCAAGTTCTTGCCACCAAGCCCCCGGAGACACCCTCGGGGGACAGGGAACAGATGATGGTCCCATGTGCCAGGGTTGTCCCAAGCAGCTCTGATGTAGGTAGGACCTTGTCCTCCTTCCTGCACGGATCTGAGACATGTTCCCGTCTCTATTCCCACTGTGCTGCTTTACACACTCCCAGTGGCCTCTCACGGGGTGCCCTGCACGTCCCAGGGTCCCACCAGCCTCAAAGTGCAACGAAGCCCATGAGTCCCCAGTCCCCGCTACCAGAGCACAGTGGGAGAGGGCAGGAGGCAGAATGGGGGAGAAAAAGCTGAGGAGGTGCAGAGCAGCTCTGGAGGGTGCTGAGACAGAGCAGAGGCGAGCAAGGACAGGAGTTAATACACAGGATGGGTGACAGAGAGAGCAAGTGAGCAAACAGCAGCAGATTGGGGAGGACCCGGAGTCAAGCAGACAATTAGCAGAGAGTCAGCAGAGAACGAGATGCAAAAATCATTAGTGGAAGTGGTGAAGCTGAAAAAAAACGATGACAGGAAAAAAGCAGGAGCAGGTGCAGTCAGGAACATAGCAATTAGGTAAATACGGGAACATGGCAAATACTCGCAATTGCACAAATGTGATAAACATTGGGTAAATATGGGAAAAACTGTTCAATCGGTATCCCTGTTGAGGGACGCATCTGTAGCCCTACCTGCAGCAGTGGGATCAAGGGAGGGAGCAGCTATAGAGGTAACTCTGTTCTTCAGTGAAAGAAAAATGTGCCAAGCCGTGCATGGCAAGAGGCCCCTGGCACGGGACACTGCCCTGAGGGGAGGCTGGAAAGTGTAGGAGAGGAAGTGTGGCCCCTGTAAATCAGACACTTTTCCAAGGAAGCTGCTGTGAGATTTATTGGGAGAGCATGGCTCTGCAATAAGTTCCTCCATGCTCCCTCCGTCAGAGTAAACTTTATCCTTTCTTCCCATCCTTGTCTTCAATTGGAGTGAGAAACAGCAGCAGTCCTTCTCCAGAGATCAAAGTTTTAGCAGGCAACAAAGACCTCCAAGGAGGCTGTTGCCATGCCTACCTTAGTAAGGGAGGTCTTTTAATCACACCAGTCTCCTTTATGAGCAGCGTGTGGCTGTCGCTGGCAAATAAGGACGAAAGGAGGGGTAAAAAACCTTGGCAACAAGTTGCATTTCTAAGTGGTGTGAAATAAATAACTAGGAGTAGGCAAGGCTAGGATGAGGGGATTGGACCCCGATTACAAAGGCTGCAGCACAGTGGTCTGGGACAGGGCAGCAGCACCTAGCGAGGACAGGACGAGCACTTTGGGAGTGGGAGGACACCAGCAGCTTTCTGGCATCAACGCCTTTTGCGGATTTTTAAGTGGTGGGCTCCCATGCTGATCACCTCCTTCGCCTGCTGGTACCTTCGGTCACGCAGGCACAGCTCAAGGTCGGAGGGCCCTAGCCGTGAAGCTGCTTACAAGACATCTCCCCGGCTGAGATCTGGCCCTCTCATCCCTAACACACAGCCAGTAGCACTGCCATCTCTGCCAACCGCTGTGACCAAGTACTGGCTCAGATGCTACTGGTAGCTCTTCAGCAAAACACAGCTAAATCCTTAAAGCATCATCTTGTAAGGGAAAATTTTGCCAAGAACTTTTCCGTCTCCGAAACCGCATCAACTTTTATAAGACAGTCTGTCCTGGCACACAAAAGACTCTGAACCTGGCTATATTTATACCAGCTATTGAGTCATTTTGCTGAGTAAGAACCGTCTTATTAGCATTGCACACCATAAACACACATCGCAGTAGAGATTTATCCTCTCTGAAAGCCAATGCATGTCTCTATTAGCACATTAATTACTGTGCAATATGCTGTGTGTGTATGTTTCTACACTATCTCTTA